AATAAACGAAGAGGCTTGGGATTCTAAATCAAATGGTCATATGGCCACTGGCCACTATTTCCCCCTGGTGCTCTTTATCCTTTCTGCATCTGTCATGTGTCTAAATGAAGTTGACCCCAGACCAACCCGTCAGTTTCCTGGGGCAGCTGCCATTCCCTAGTCTAGCTTCTGGACCTATCCAAGTGGCCCAGCACAAGAGCAAGTGCAGCCCTTCCCAAGAGCCAATCACAGTGGCTTGGTCGATTTTGTTGCTGTTGAACATGGCCCGGGTGCCCGGCTGCCTGGTTACAGAGAGTACCTGGGAGGAGGCCCAGGGTAGGAGGAAGACCAAAATGATGGAGGCCAAGAATTCTCTCATATACCTGAGCCTTGCTGTTTTGATATCTGGCTGCCAGGGTTGAGGAACCCCAAAGCCAGGTTAGGTTGTCAGGTTCATTACTACATGACCCGAGGGTGTTATAAAAGGGGTGAGAATCTCAGAGTGACCAGGAGGAGGAGCATGACCTGGAACTGCCCCTCCACTGGGCATCCTTAGCCAGGAAAGGGCTGCTCTCAGCTGCAGCAGCCTTAGCCATCAGTAGCCTTGTCAGATACTGTGTTTTTCCTGGATTTGTGCATTGATCTTCCTTTAACAAAAATTTTGTCATTGACCCTTTGTCCTTTTTGCAGAAACAAGACATGCTTGTTTCTTGGTTTTTCCCCTGTAGCCACTTGGGTGAGGAGGCAGAATTTTAACTGCCTCTTCCTGATTTTGTGTGTGTGAATATTTGTGCATTTATTGCTCCTCTTGTGTCTTGATGGAATGGATCCGGCTGCAGAATCTGGGCTCTAGGAGAGATCCCTGGAGGCCAACCACCCTGGCCTCTGCCTCCAGGCGGGTCTGTATCTGAATGGAGCCAAAGGGTTCCTGAAATATCCTTGGGGTCAGCCAGAGGGTTGGGTGGGGCTCCAGGCTCTGGATGGTTCGTGTTCACTTGAAGCAACTGTTTTCATATATTGAGACTTTGAATAATATTTCATTAGTTAAAAATGTTTTGCTCTTTTTACCACACCAGGTCCATTTTTGCCCGGCCCCTAGAAAGCCAATCACTGAGAGGATGAAATTGCAGAGAGAGAGCGTTTGTTAATCACAAGGCAGCCAAGTGTGGAAATGGGAGAATGAATCTCAAATCCGCTTCCCCGAAAATGGGGACTCAGGGATATTTATAGGGAAGGGGGCAAGGTGGTCTGAAATGATTGGAGGTGAGGAGAGATGAGGTAATTGATGATCTGCACAAGCGTAGTCAAGCTTCATGCCTCTTCGTCCCACCCATGTTCACAGAATGGTGGCATTAGCGGGCCCTGAGGGTGGAGTTGCAACCTTTTGCCATCAAAAAGTCGCTTATCCAGCACATGTCTGTGTGTGCCCAGTTGATGGGTTGGTGGTCTCAATCTGGCCTAAAGTGCACAAAGGGTTCAGTTCCTGAAAAAAATAGCTCAAACACCCATTACCATAGTGACCCTGGCTCCAGGGGGATGTTACCTATAGGATCCTAGTGGGAGTCAGATAGCATATTGCCTAAACAGCACAGTTAACAATGAGTAAGTTTATTATGCAAATTTAAGTCCTCGCCTTCTATTCTGATAAGTCTCTAGGTAAGGCCATCCCCCGCTTCTTCCTAGTACCAGGAAGAAGATACCTTTACAAATGGAGATTTTCTTTACAAATGTCTCCTATAAAGGGTAACCAGAACTAAGAATGGGCTTAGCACGGACCCACCCAGATACCCAGAGATGTCTATTATAATGGCCTGTTCTGGGGGCTGGCCTCCCATCCCAAACTCTTTTGGTTAGTTAGTGGGGGTGGGGACCAAAGTGTCATTCAGGCAGAGACATATTTCAAGGTGGCCAATTCCGATCCCCCATAGTTAGTAGCTACTTAGTCATCAATGGCTAACTGTTTGTCGGTTTCACTCTTAAGAGGAAAAGGTTGAAATTGCTGGTCTGTGCCGCCTAGGAGGAACTCATTTTCTCTTTTGGAAGAATTTCAGAAATGAAAATTTAAGCCCATTCTACTTGTTTTCTTAGATTGTTTAGGTAGTGATAACTTGGGAGGGAGGCACGTCTGAGTGACTGTGAAGACACTAGAAGTAGGATTTATTTCTCTGAAACTCAGCAAGCATTCCTACAGCACCTACTCTGCCAAGATTGTTGCATTTCACAACTCCAGGATGGCGCCTCCTAGAGTTGAACAATGTGATGGCCCAATGTGACCCTATGCATAACACTACATTAGATGCCATTGGAATAGGGGTGCAGGATGATAAGACAGAGAAAGTAGATCAGATCTCCTGCCCTTGGGGTGGATTATGATCTATTTAAAGAAACGGTCCTCAGTTGTTAAGGTTTGAAGGGGGGCCAGCACATAGCACTTTCTTTCCCTGCCCGTGATCATAACCAGTTGAGAAAGATAGAGGAATCGGGCAAATGGAGGTTAAAATATCACCTTTATGAGTAGTAATGCTGATCCTAGAGAATGTAGTTTATATCTGTGGGCAAGTGAATTTCTAACAGTGGATCTTAGAATCAGACAGACTTACCCCCCAACACAGGTAGCCCTGGAGAACAGCAGGCTTCTTCTCCTACCAGCCATCTCCCCTGCCCTTTGACTTCTCCTCTAACATTTATAGAAGGGGGAAGCAGAGCAGAATGCAGACTAATCTCTAAGAAAGCAGGGGAGGAGAAGGGGCCAAGCTACCCATGTCCAATTCTTATCCCTCAAATTACCAACCCAGGGAAAAGGCCCAGAGTTACATTGAAAGATGTCCCAATGTAGGGAAACACCAGATCAGGGAAAAGGAGGTTCCTTCCCTCAACAAGCCCACATGATAAGCTTGAAATGAACTCTGAGGCAATACATTCTGACTATATGAATTTTTGGTACAAGATACATGTTCAGATACTGAAAAGGAATGATCAGAGTAGTATGTATTTAATCAGGGAACATTTCTGTAAGGAAGCAGTGGGCACATTTTGGTGGAGAGAAGCATACAATTTTAAGCAGATTGACTTGTTGAAATGGGGAGAGTTCATGATGAGCTTGAACTGTAGTAAAATGAAAAAGGCCTCCCATAGGCTGCAGCTGTGAGTTACTAATTTCTGGTTTACCATCTGAAAAAATATTGCTTAAATGTTTCTTTAGAGCACAAAGAAAAGATTCTTTGATTTGCTTGCTTTTTTGTCTTACCAGCTAGGGTACAACTGAGAGCCATGGTGTGTAGGCTCAATTGGTGTAATGCTTGCTTTTGAGTTTTCTGTTGCTTAATTGAAAGTAGTTTAAAATCCCACAGGTTCTGAGGAGGAGACTGGGAGGAATAGTAACACAGACCTTCCAAAAACAGTGGATAATTTGGAGGCCGTATTTTTCTTGTTTTTGGAATGCTATTTGTGATTTTTGTATGGTGGATTTTTCTTTCAAAACACATTTTTCTTAGGGTGACATTATAATCTATTTGCACCTAGAAACTGGCAGCTGAAAATTAGGGAAAGGGAAAATGGATAGAGGATTAAAATTAACTATTGATGAACACATAAATAATCAAGATTTAAGGAGATCATATTCCCCTTTGATCTGTTTGCTGCCTGTTTGTACATTTTAGGGTTATTCATACTTAGATATGAATAAGTGATATAGCCAGATATGTAAGCTAGTTAAGTTAAATTAGTTAATCCTAATGTCAATCGAGATGTATGTCTGTCTGTGTTGTATAGTATAGAGTTTGATGTGATTGCAGACACAGAGACCCAGGGCACCTCTTGGGGATCTATTTCCATCTCCAAGATTCAGTGAGTTGTTTTCTCGCTGTCTTCTGAAATAAAATATGTAAAATGCTGAGGACAGTGCCTGGTACATAGGAAGCTTCTCTAATACTTAACAACATGGAGAAATATTTACTGTATTTTAATTTCAAAATAGTTATAAAATAGTATGTAAAGTATTATCCAGTTATGCAAAATTCAAAAAATAGTTGTTAAGTTCTTATGTGCCAGAGGCTGTTTTAGCACCTGGCATACAAGAGCTAAATAGAGATGAACACACCATTGCTTTGGGTCTCATTTAATTTTGTGTCACGGAATAGACTGGTGCATCTTGCTGTGATGTCCTCAATAAATAGAAAACATTAGTTTCTTCTTAAATTTTTTTTGGAAGCCAGAGACTGACTTTGTATAGATATTTGGCCATAGATACCTGAGTGAGTACCCTCTCTGAGAAGTCAGTCAGGTGAGCCCTGCCTACCTCTCCTTCTGTGGATTTGGAAGAGCTCATTTATCCCTCTCTTTAGCTCCGAAACAAGAATTAGAAGTTGAAAGCTATTTATTGAGCTTCCTAAGGCACTACTGTAATCCCACTCCAAACCCACTTGGAATCCTCCCTTTCTGGAGGAGGCTTTGCTGAGAGAATCGTTGTGGTGGTTCTTTTCCTTCAGTGTGTTGTCATTTGCCATTGTATTGGACCTTTTGGATTTTTGTTTTGGGGAGACAGAAATAGTTTCTAGCCCATGCTCAATTGAGCATGCAAGCCAAATTAATGGATTTTCAAACTGGATTTTGACACTGGGGCCCTTTAGCAATGGAAATTTGAGTTTGCATGGTCTACTGGCCGTGATTGGCAGCGCCCATCCTGGCCCCTACTCTTTACTTGTACATTACGTGGTCTAAGGTAAGTCTTTAGATCTATATATCTTAAGATCAGGAGGGATTTTCAAATCATTTTACAAAGGTTAAGAGATCTGCACTCACAAAATTATTTTAACAGAAGAAAACCTCCACTGAATAGTCACCATGAAAATTTTTATTCCAAGAAGAGAAATTAATGGTATAAGACCCCAGCACCTGAAGGAATGAAACCATTTAAAAAAAATGAATTAATATTTTTACCTATTCATTCCCAAGTCTTTTGCTTCCATAGTCCCTCAAATGAGAATACAAATTACTGACCAACCTTTTGATATTTCTTTCAGGGACACCTGTGTGGTTCTTTGTGAAAATTGCTCCAATTCGAAACGAACAGGATAAAGTGGTTTTATTTCTCTGCACTTTCAGTGACATAACAGCTTTCAAACAGCCAATTGAGGATGATTCATGTAAAGGTTTGTAATTCTGATTTGTACAAATACATTTATGCTTTTTTTTTTTGCCTGTAGTGTGACTCTTGTTACAGAGAATTTGAGGTTGCCAAGGCAATCTCTGCACAAAGATCAAGATTTAAACTTTAATTTGTGTTGGGTAAAGCATTGTATTATTCTGGAATGTTTTGAGGGAGGAGAAGGGGAGAAAAAAAGCTTTGTTTAGGAAAGGCTTTGAGTCAATGTCATATCTTTTTGATTAACCATTTCCAATAAAGGTTAGACAGAAGAAGGTAGTGGGACACCTCTGGTATCATCAGAATCTTTTCAGGTTTTCACATGACAGATGTCAGTCACCCAAATGAGGCAGTCCATGGCCACATTCATCTTATTTATGTGTAAACTTCTTTAGATGTGACTGAGTTCTAGCATTTCAAGATTGTTAAAGTAGATTTTAGCACATCCCTACCTCTGTGGTTGATTGAGTTCAGTCTGTGGTCTGTTAATTCATTTGAAACATGGTATTGAAGAGGCCAGGGTCTTGAGTAATATTTCCATATGGGTCATTGAATCAGCTCTGTAACCACAGAATTTAGTGCTCACCTCAGCCACGTCACATGCGTGTGTTGTTTGAATAACATTGAGGACCTGAGAAAGGAGATGGCTGAGGATCTCAGGATTTCTAGAACAGCTATACTGCTGAAGAGACGCAGCTCATCAGGATATACAAAAGATGGCATGTTATTCCCAGAGGTTTGGGGTTAGGGATGTCATAGCACTCTTTTTCATCCCTTTTCCATAGCATTCACCCAACATAACCAATGACCTAGGAGCTCTTTCATGTTGCAGTGCTTCGTGGCTCTGTGGTTGATTTTCCAGCTCTTCCTGAGAACCCTGCTCCTTGCGGTTTCCTGAGATGCAGCAGAGAGATGAGAGTAGAAGTCCAGGGGAGTGTCGAACTGGGGTGTATTATTCTGGATGTGGCAAAATTGTGATTGTTAAATGGGCATTATAGGAGGAAATAAAAAGCGTTATGTGGATGCTCTCTCAGGGGCTCTGAAGGTATTTAAAATCCTAACATATCTGGATGCTCACATTTATAGGGTTTAGGGCACAATGCCGTGTATACCAGTGCATGCTTTTTTTTTTTTTTAATATCTGTTAGCTCCATAAATCAATTTCAGCTTGCCTTTTTGTTTCAAGACCATAGTAGACATAAAGTCTCTCAACCAGTGTCTCAGCCTCCTGCAGTCTCCTTTCCTCCTGCAGATTTGTGAATTCCCTGATTTCTAGTTTCTGACTTGAAGATTTCTCAGTGCAATAGTTATTACAAGGTGATAGACTCACTCATGATTGTCACCTTGCTACCATCTAGAAAGGCCATTTGCTTTTTGTCTGTGTGTGTGTGAGAAAGATTAGCCCTGAGCTAACATCTGTTGCCAATCCTCCTCTTTTTGCTGAGGAAGATTGGCCCTGGGGTAACATCCGTGCCCATCTTCCTCCCCTTTATATGTAGGACGCCTGCCACAGCGTGGCTTGATAAGTGGTGTGTAGGTCCACGCCCGGGATCCGAACCTGTGAACTCTGGGCCAAGCAGAGAGTGAGCGCAAACTTAATCACTACACCACCGGGCTGGCCCCCTGCTTTGCTTTTTTAACCTCACAAACTCATAAATAATATTTTAAAGTCAACCAGATTATTTACACTTATTTTTGCAAGTTTTCTCTTAAAAATTTAAAATGCGATTTGATTGAGTCAGAATGTTTTCCTTTCATCACCACTGGAACATTTTTAGGTGATGTGCAGGTCTTGTTTAGTAGGAAAGTCATATTCAAAAGAGAATGCTCCTCACCTGCCACCTAGCTGTCTGCATTTGATTCGCACGAAACCTGAAGGAAGAGGGAAATGAGAGTGATGTAGTGAGACTCACTTAGGTTTATTTTCCAGGAATAAAATGCTCCACTTCATTTAACCTGCTTCAGTGATGCATTTCCTTGCTGATAAGAGTTTTGATACACACACACACACACACACACACACGCATTTACCCTGTTTGCTATTAGCCAAGGGAACTGGATATTAATTCTCTTTGCCAGTGAAATAAACAGGAGTAACAAGTGGCTTGATTTGTAAAAATTTAAAACGCACACATGCTTTAGCCCTCAATATAGGAATGCTGCTTAGTGGGTCATGCTTAATGTCTCCTCCAAGGCATGACTTTGTAAGCTTGTCCATTTCAAATGTCATGGCAGATATGTTTAGACCCTCCCACTTGTCATGTCAGTGTGCCCCTGGCCCACTTTGATTTTATGGTCTGCTTAGGACAAGGTTAAATTTTATATTAGTCTGTTGATGATGGAAAAGCATGATAATTCTCCAGGCCTTGCTTGTCGTATGTCTATAAACTGCACTTCTGGCCGCAAGGATCAAATCTAGATGGAAATATGCTGCCATGTGGCTGGATTGTTCTTCTGACTTGACATGTCTTCTTGGATGTGCTCTCACATCGTGAGATTCCAGCAGATCCAGCCAGGTTCTCAGTATAGCACCTCACTTAGTATTAAGAGTCTTAAGACTCTTGCTGATCCAGGCTTGTTTAGAATTCTCTTTTGAGATGGAATGGAAGGGTGGATAATCCAAAACCCCAGAAAATCCCCAGATAATTGCTCTTTGGCATTGCAGCATGAGGTATTTTCCCACCATCAGATTAGTTTTTTAAAAGTCAACTGTGCTCAGATTGTCTTTGAAATGACTTTGTTTTCTCTAATCACTTGGGGATTGAGGAAGTGGGGTGAGTGCATCCTAATATTGATTCGAGAAGCCACTTGGTGCCTAACAATTTCCCACAAAGGGGTAAACACATGGGATAATTGGCAGTAGACTATTTTAGCATCTAACACATAGCAACGTGGCCCAGAGCTCCAAGCGCAGGTGATGGGCCCCGGGAATGCTCCCTGAGCGCCCTCATTCATGCTGTGTATCAGTTCTCAACGATCCTTTTAATGAATTACCCAGGCCCCTGACTTCCTCATCTTCTCTTTTTTGTCCATCTTTTGACTAATTCCCTTGCTCTCTGACAAAAAGTGCCCACAGATGGCATGGAGCAGGGAATGAAAGTCAAGCTAGGTTTGCTGTTTGGTAACAGCTCTGGGGTGTGTGTGTGTAGGGGTGTGTGTGTGTGTTTGAAGGCTGAATGAAAGAGTAGGTGGGAATTCTCAGCTGAAATGAGAATCTGTGGTACTCCAGGGGTTTTATTTGTTCCTTATCTCTTGCTTTTCTGCTGTTAGGGATAATTAGGAGTAGGCTGCTGAAGGTGTTTTTCTCTGTCCCCTTCTCCCTTCTGAGCCAGCAGCCTTGGGCAAGTGGGTAGAGAAGAATTCCAGCGTAAGGCTGAGGATTTTCTCTCTGCATTGCTCACTGAAGGATGAGTCACTCCTCTTGTTTTCTGTCTTACCCCACCGAATAATCTCATGTTAAAGGAGCAAATAAAAGATCCACGTATTTACTTCTAAATTCACAGTTAAACTTGAGCCAAATGCAGACAACAAAAGGAATGTAAAACTCCAGAGGAGATTTTTAAGGGCCAAAGGTTTAGAATATTCAGGATGAGGGCTCTGGGAAACTGTTGTAACTGCCGACCCTTCTCCACGTGTCTTCATGTAGCATATTTGTGAGGTGCTCTTGGGAAAGAAACAGAGTAATGGATACAAGCCACAGGCCCCCTCTCCCCTCCAGAATTAACATTTTATCTCTCTGCCCTTAGGATGATGATTTAGTGACTGCTACTTGAAGAGCCCACCCTAGATTTTTGGTTATTTGTACATTGATAGGGAAAAGATGAGGGAGGAAGACTTGAGGACACTCAGGCAGTATCCACATTGACCGTCTCTCCTGGTCCCCTTGGTCTGCTGTTCTCTTCGGGATGTTGGGTTATGGCACCACCTCCTCTAAGACAGTCTGTGACTCTACAGATGAGGACGAGCCTGGCCTCACAGCCTCCCCACCAGGGTGAGGGTACCTTCCGGGATTCCTCTGCCGCTTCTACTCAGAGTGACTCGGCATGACTTCCCAGGGAGGGGTCTGTAGGTCTGCCTTTTCTGGTATCCTTGGACTTACCCTCAGAGGAGCTGGAATTCCAGCTCATCCCAGAACCATCTCTTCTGGCCTGGGGAGGATACAGGACTGTGTGGGCTAAAGCAGCCTAGTGGGGGGCTCACCCCAGTTGAAACCAGCAGCCACTGTGGGGTCAAGGAAAGGGGAAGCAGTTGTCCTTACTGAGAATGGAGAAAGGACCCGTTAAGTACTTTTTACTTGATTGCTAGGTTGTATATTGTGTTCCTTGTGTCCTTCTTTTCCTTTCATGCTTCCTCTTCCCCTCCTGCCCACCCCCTCTCACCCAAAAGACGCCCAATAAGTGTATGTGCTGAATAAAAAGAAGTCCGCCTAAGGCAAACGGGGCTACACAGGAGGAAGTGGGCAGTTCTGCTGGGGGTGTGGCAGTATCGGGGAAAGGCTTCCTCAAATGAGGAGGGTGCACCAGCTGCCTTATCTTCCTTGTGGAAGATGACCATGTGGCTTCGCCTAAGCAAGATCATCTTGAGCTGGGTTCTCATTGGGTGGTCCCTTCCCAGCTGGCCCTTTGGACAATAGGAGAGTCACTTTTTCCAGGAATGTTTCTCAGCCATCTCCTGATGGCTCTGCTATAAGGGACATCGTTGGTCCAAATTATACATATTATCTTCCATCAAACCCATTTGCTTCTCTTCCTGTGTTTTTAGTCTCATTGCTTGGCTCTCACCCGTCACCCAAACCAGGGACCCAGAGGCCACCTGGATTGCCTCTTCTCTTGCTCTATAGCTACTGTTCATTGAGTCCTGTCGACTCTACCTCTAGCTGTCTTCAAGTCGTTCCTTGTCATCTGGCCCAGGCCACAGCATTGGTCCAGGCCTGCATGGTCTCTTGCCTGCGGTCCTGACTGGTCTTCTATCTGTCAACCTTTTTTTTTTAAGTCTACTATCTACACTGCCATTCTGTCCTAAAACGAAATCAGTGTTTCCTCCTCCCCACCGTATTTAAACTCCTTCAGTGGTTCCCCATGGGTTTCAGGATGAAGTTCAAATTTCTTACCTTGCTGTCTAGGTTCTTACCACCTAAATTCTTCTTGATCTGGTCCCTGATAACCTCTTTAGCCTCACTTCAGGTCACTCTCTGCATCCCCCTTCCATCTACAAGCCATGTCTCATTCATCCAGCCACTTAGAATGTCTTATTGTTCACTGACGTATTACACTATTTTGTGATTTTCTGCCTTTGTAGGTGCTGTTCCTTCTGTGTGGAATGTCTCTCTTTTCCTTCTTGAGTTCTTTTTTGTTTTTTTTTTAAGTAACTGGTTTTTTTTTTTTTTTTTGGTGGGAAAGATTTGCCCTGAGCTAACATCTGTTGCCAATCTTCCTCTCTCTCTCTCTCTTTTTTTCTCTTCCCAAAACCCCGGTACATAGTTGTATATTCTAGTTGTAAGTCCTTCTAGTTCTTGTGTGTGAGCTGTTGCTACAGCATGGCTGCTGACAGATGAGTGGTGTGGTTCCGTGCCCAGGAACAGAACCTAGGCCGCCGAAGCAGAACATGCCGAACTTTAACCGCTAGACCATCAAGGCTGGCTCCCTTCTTTTTTTTTTTTTTATAATTTTATTTATTTATTTATTTACCCCAAAGCCCCAGTAGATAGTTGTATGTCATAGCTGCACATCCTTCCAGTTGCTGTATGTGGGACGTGGCCTCAGCATGGCCGGAGAAGCGGTGCGTCGGTGCGCGCCCGGGATCTGAACCCAGGCCGCCAGCAGCGGAGCGCACGCACTTAAGTGCTAAGCCACGGGGCTGGCCCGGCTGGCTCCCTTCTTGAGTTCTTAACTCCTACTCATCTTTCAGAATTTTGCTTTAGTTTCACCTCCTCTGGAAAGTCCTCTCTGACTCCCCAGCCTGGATTAGATACACCTTTCTCTGGACAGTCTTGGCCATAGCATCCTGTACTCACCTTTGTCAGAGAGCTTAGCTTACTATATCATGGTTTTTTAATTTTCAGTCTTCCCTACTAGTGTGCATGCTCTTTGAAGCCACAGTCTGTTGTCTTATTCATCTTAGTATCTCCAGTACTAGCACTGTGCCTGGCGTATAGTAGATATGTTTATAGAATTAATACAGTAGTTATGTTTATAGAATTAATACTTGAGGGCCGGCCCCAGGGTGTAGTGGTTAAGTTCATGCGCTCTGCTTTGGCGGCCCGAGGTTTGTGGGTTTGGATCCTGGGTACGGACCTATGCACTGCTTATCAAGCCATGCTATGGCAGGTGTCTCACATGTAAAGTAGAGGAAGATGGGCATGGATGTTAGCCCAGGGCCAATCTTCTTCAGCAAAATGAGGAGAATTGGCAACAGATGTTAGCTCAGGGCTAATCTTCCTCACCAAAAAAAAAAAAAAGAATTAATATGTGAGTGAATGAAGTTCTTTCATCTGGCTAGGCAATGATTCCTGTTAGAAAGTGCGTATAGTTCAGAAAGGAAAACATGGAGGTGGAACTTGGGAGAGAACTTATTTCTTTTCTTCGGAACAGGCAGAGCCTGCCCATCCTGGTAGAGGTGTGATGGAGGATCTCATTCTGCCTGTCCATTTCCCCAACCAATACCTACTCACCTTCCCATGCCCTCCCCTCAGCCAGCTGAGAGCCAGCTCCTTTAAGGGCCACATTCTTGGAAAGTGATTCAGGGCTAGCCCAGAGAGTGAGAGGCCAGCCTGAGCCCAGAGAAATTCCCAGAGGTCCAGGGAGGGATCTTTCTTTTCGTCCTTTTGTGCTATATCAGCTGATGGAGCAGGGCCCTGAGCTCCCTGCCAGGCAGGATCTGGGGTGTCTGCCCTGCCACCTCCCTCTCCTCATTGGTCCCTGAGTATGGGTCATGGTGGTAGTGGTAGTGACTGTAGTGGAGGAGTGGGATGGGTTGAGGGTTGCAGAGCCCTTGCCGATGTTTGCACGTAGAACCAGTTTCTACCTGATTGGGAAATATACTTTGTGCTTTTGTTGAAAAGCTCTGTAGAATTCAATTCCAGCTTTCCTTTAAGCTGTAGGAGAGCCTGCTTCTGAAAGAGACTTTAAAAAATTCTAGTCCACAGTTCATATAAGCAAATTCCAGTGAGCATGTTCATAAATGGCACATTTGGGGGAGATGTCAAAGACTCCTGCGGAGTCTGGGCTGTCCCCTCCTGTGAGGATTATGGGACCCCCACAGCCTGACCATCATGCACCTCTTTTCAAGCTGACTCTAGAAGTACCATTCCTCTGCTTAATGGCATCAGGATGGATGAAAACACCACTATCTTTTATTAAAGCCCAGAACTTCTGGAATGAGATAAAAAAGAACTGATTTGCTGTTCTTGCTATGTTGACAAAAATTTATCCAGATCATGATTCTTAAAGGTTGTGCAAAAAAAGAGCCATTCTTTGGCACTCCATTGTCCTCTGGATTCTAAGCCTGTCTTGGAAAGGTGCTCCAGGGTAAAATTTGGCAGATGAGATTTCTGCTGCAAGGCGCTGTATACTTCTAAACTATAAAGGACAAAAGAATGAAATTGCCTGGGCTGCTTTTAGCTGTCACGTAAAAATAGTGGCATGCTCTGTTTATTTGCTGTACACCCCACATCCAGGTCTTTGGAGCTCCTCAACCTCAAGCTTGGTCTTGAGAACTCTGACAGGCTTTCAGGGGTCTCCTGAGGTGATTTTCATGATCATAACCTTGATGCAAATGGGCCGTTGGCTATAGGAATGAACAGTTGTCTTTGGGGACTTTTAGATCATGCATACATCTTAAATTCTCAGTCCAGATCACTCAGAAATGTTATGTTCTGGGGTATAGAGTGGGCTGGATTACAAAAAGACCACTGTTTTACTTTTCCTGGAAGAACTAGTCCAGAGGGCCAAGGAGGCCTCAAGACAGCCTGTGTTTTAGCCCACTAACTAGAACCCGCTAAACTTAGCCACTTCGTTTTACTGGGCAAATGCACCCTGCCTTTAGGAGGGTAGAGTATTTTAATTTCCACTTTACGGATGAGTTAATTGAAGCCCAGACAACTTAAACAACTTGTTGGTGATAACAAAGCAAGCTAGAGGCAGAGATGGGACTTATACCCAGATTTCTTTACTCTAAGCTTAGGACTAGGCTCTTTGTGGTTCTTGTTTTAAGGGGACCTGTCACCAACTGTCCTTCCCCTATCCTGGAGAAGACTAAAATCTGCCCGTGCTTTTTCCCCACCCACCCAGGGATTAAATTCATTTCTTATTTGCCTGGCTTTGGAGAACGTAATGCATGGAATGGCCGTTTGACTAGCTGGTCCATTTAAAACCTGGAACCAGCTTGGTCTCTGCTAGATCAGATGATGTGGGGTTGGGAACAGCCTGAGCCCAGTCACAAAGTCAGAGAAACATCTTGCTTGCCTGGAATTATTTGGCAGAAAAGCCTTGGGCCAGAATGGAGAGATCTGGGTTCTAGACTCTTTTTAGTTATCTAGGCACTCTGTGCCTCGGTTTCCCTATGTGTAAAATGATACTAAAACTTGTCCTACCTACTTCACAAAGCTATGGTTAGGATAAAGTGAAAGTGCACGGGAAAAGTAAATTTATACACAAATTTGAGCATGACTAGGTGCCTTTCTGAGCAACGAGTTTTGATTGCAAGAAATGCAGTGACTCATGGGTGCTCAGGAGGGCAATGGGGTGTCTGCTTCTGATAGTGTAACTCGTGATGTGAATGTCCATGCGCCTTCAGGACGTGGTTGAACCTGTCTTTTCTCTCTTCCACACGCCCAGGATGGGGGAAGTTTGCTCGGCTGACCAGAGCACTGACGAGCAGCAGGGGGGTGCTGCAGCAGCTGGCTCCCAGTGTGCAAAAAGGCGAGAATGTCCACAAGCACTCCCGTCTGGCGGAGGTAAGGGTAGGGCTTGGCTCGTCTTACACCTCACTTCTCTGGGCTGAGAAAATGGTACAAAGCAAGTGTGCTGGTGTGGAGGGGACCTTCAGGACCCCAGACTCTGGGGCTACACACCACAATGTGTGACTTTGGGTAAGTGACCTAATTCCTTTCAGTTTTGTACTTTCCCGTGTGTAAAGAGGACTGCAAACAACTCTATTCCAACTTGCTTGAGATTGTAGGTGTCAGTTCACTTTTTTGAAGGAGGAGAGAAGGAGCTAGAAATACATGAAGGAGGTTTTACTTACAAACCATAATCAATTTTGTTATTTTGAGCAATACATACTATTATAGGAAAAGTAAACAAAGGAAGCAAAAAGAAGAAAATAAAAATCACCTGTAATCTCACTCACCAGATGACATTGATATAATCTTTGTGTGCATTTCTTAACTCTTTTCTTTGCAGATGTCCTGTTTCCTAAAGCCTAAGAAATACATTTTTTTGCATGTTAATGTTTATGAAGTTGAGATGCATCTAAGAGTCCATGTGTGGACTTAATCTGGTTGTGTTGCCTTTTCTTCACTTTATATAATCATGAATATCTTTCCAGGTTAATAAATAGACTTAAAATTATTGTTGCTTTGAAAACCTTTGTGATGAGAAAAACTCATGACTGTGGTGTCCTCCCTTTTGCTGGGACAAGTGAGAGGCTGGGAAACCTGGACAAGGTGTTTGACCTTAATGCACCCAGATTACTATTAACTGTCTTTGGTGGTTCTGCATCCAGATCACTATCATCTCCCTTTGATGGTTCATTTTTTCAACTAGACCAGGATAGGACCAATTAAGAGCATTGTACCTTCCACACAGCAAACTTCCATCTTACACAAGGATGACAGCGTAAGCTGTCTCTCTGCCTGGTGGTGGCTGGTCAGTTCTTGACCCATGCTCGGACAACAGGGCCCTCTCTGACCTGACTCCTGGCTCCCATACTCCTGAGAGAGGAACTCCCAGCCTGGTGCAGCTCACAGTGGGTGCTCTGCATGTGTGCACCAGATGTCAAATGAGTCAACTACAGAAGATCTCCTCCAGCGGCCAAAAGCTTCTGCCAACAGTGGGGATGGGAGCACTCATTCGTGTCGTGTTAGAGAAGGAGAGACATTTGGATGATGGCAGCATCGTGTTTTGTCACGGTGTGGGCTCGGCTTATCATAGAAAGAATCATAAAGGAGACCTTTCAGCTCACAGCCTGCACTTTCCCTCTCCCTGCTTCTTCTTTTGGTTACTAAAGTAACTTCCTCTCCTACTGCTCTCCGCCTTGCTCACTCTTATCCAGTCACACTCCTTGCTGTTCCTCATACACACCAGGCTTGCTCTTCCCACAGATATCTGCTTGGAAACTTCACCAATTCCAGGTCTTTGCTCAAATTTCATTTTCTCTATGTGGCTGTCTGTATCAGTTGGCATTCTACCAGAGAAATAGAACCAGTAGGATATTTATATAATAAGAGAATTATTGCAAGGTGTTGATTTATGTGATTTAGGGGGCTGGCTAGGCAAGTCCAAAATTCATAGGGCAGCTTGGCTGACTGGAAACTCTTCGGAGGAGCTGATGCTGAAGTCCACAGATGGAATTTCTTCTTCCTCAGGGAAACCTCACTTCTGTTCTTAAAGCCTTTCACTGATTAGATAAGGCCCACCCAGATTATAATCTCCTTTCCTGAAAGTCAGCTGTTTGTAGATGTTAATCATATCTACAAAATACCTTCACAGGAACAATAGGTTAGTGTTTGGTTGAATAACTGAGTACCTGGCCTAGCCAAGTTGACACATAAAACTAACAAGTACAGTTTACCCCTTGTCCACTTGGCACCCACACACATCTCCATAAACCATACTTATATACAAATAAAGACAATAAAAAAGTCATACTTCCCCTTAACATGATCCAGTTATCCTACATATGACCAAAAACATGCCAACCCTTTCCCCAGAAGAGGATGTAAACTCCTTGGATGATGTTCACTCTTCTCCTTGATATCCTGAAACTTAAATACTGTGATGCAAACTTAACTATTATTAATACCTTTTATGTTAGATGATAAGCGGGTAAGAGAGGGAAGAAAATAAAAATATTTGCCTAATATATATATGCATAATATAATATTTTATATTATATACGTTAGATATATAACATATATGGTATATTATAATGTAATAACATAATATAATATGCTATATATGTTATAATATAGATGCATATATAATATGTTATATTTGCATATATATAGAAACACTTATAACAAAATAAGAAATACTCATAACTCCTAATCCTTTCCTTAATCTGCTCTTTGTTACTCTCCACTTAATACCTTCTTTTTTTTTTTGTAATTAATCATAATTTTATTTTTTATTTTTTATTTATTTTTAATTTTTTATTTATTGCAGTAACATTGGTTTATAACATTATATAAATTTCAGGTGTACATCATTATACTTCTATTTCTGCATAGATTACATCATGTTCACCACCCAAATACTAATTACAACCCATCACCACACACATGTGCCGAATTATCCCTTTCGCCCTCCTCCCTCCCCCCTTCGCCTCTGGTAACCACCAATCCAATCTCTGTCTCTATGTGTTTATTGTTGTTATTATCTACTACTTAATGAAGGAAATCATATGGTATTTGACCTAATATACTATACAGTTTACTTATGTATTGTGGTTGTTGCTCACTGATATATCCCAAGCACTTAAAACAGTGTCTGGCACATAGTAGATGTTCATCAGTAGTAAGTGCTTTTTTTTAATTGATTGATTGGATGAAAGAAAGGAAATGATGTTAGTATTTTTGTTTACCTGTCTGCCAGAAGTAGTTGCTCATTGATTTGCAATATGAGGCAAACATCTGGGTCCCATCCCGGGGGCTAGTAGATTTTAGTTAGCCTGGTTAGAGGCTTATGGATTTTATTGATCTTTTCAAAGAACTAGCTTTTGGTTTTGTTGATTTTCTCTAATGGTTTCCTGTTTTCAATTTCATTGGTTTCTGTTCTGATTTTTATTTTTCCTTAGTTTGGATTTAATTTGTTTATCTTTTTCTACTTTCCTAAGGTGGAAGCTTAGTTATTGATTTTTGATCTTTCTTCTTTTCTAATATATGCATTCAATCCTATAAATTTCCCCCTAAACACTGCTTTCACTGCATCCTCCACATTTTGATAGGTTGTGTTTTCATTTTTGTTTAGTTCAAAATATTTTTTAAATTTCTCTTGAGGTTTTTTCTTTGATCCTGTGTGTTATTTAGAAGTGTGTTGTTTAATCTCCAAGTATGTGGAGGATTTTACAGCTATCTTTCTGTTATTGATTTCTAGTTTAATTCCATTGTGTCCTGAGAGTACATATTGTATGATTTCTAGTCTTTTAAATTTAATAAGGTGTGTTTTGTGGCCCAGAATGTGGCCTGTCATGTGAATGTTCCATGTGAGCTTGAGAAGAATGTGTATTCTGTTGTTGTTGGATGAAGTAGTCTATAGATGTCAATTATGTCCAGTTGATTAATGGTGTTGTTGGTAAACTGGGTCCTTACTGATTTTCTGCCTGCCAGATCTGTCCATTTCTGATAGAGGGGTGTATAAGTCTCCAACTATAATAGTGGATTCGTCTGTTTCTCTTAGTAGTTCTATAAATTTTTGCCTCATGTATTTTGATGCTCTATTTGGTGCCTACACATTAAGGATTGTTATGTCTTCTTGAAAAATTGACCCCTTTATCATTATGTAGTGCCCTTCTTTATCCCTGATAACTTTTCTTGCTCTGAAGTCTGGTGTGTCAGGAATGAATATAGCTATTCCTGCTTTCTGTTGGTTAGTGTTAGCATGGTATATCTTTCTTTATCCCTTTACTTTAATCTATAGATGTATTTATATTTAAAGTGGGTTTCTTATAGGCAACATATAATTGGGTCTTGTTTTTTGATCCACTTTGACAGTCTTTGTCTTAATTGGCCTATTTAGACCATTGACATTTAAAGTGATTATTAATATAGTTGGATTAATATCTACCATATTTATTACTGGTTTTTATTTGTTGCCCTTGTTCTTTTTTTGTGTTCCACTCTTTTTTCTGCCTTTTGTGCTTTTAGTTGAGTATTTTATATGATTCTATTTTCTCTCCTTTCTTAGCATATCAGTTATATTTCTTCGTTTTTTTTTTTTTTTAGTGCTTGCCCTAGAGTTTGCAATATACATTTACAGCTGATCCAAGTTCACGTTCAAATAACACAGTACTGCTTCATGGGTAGTGCAAGTACCTTCAAATAAAATATTCCTAATTCCTCTGTCCTGTCCGTCGTATCATTACTGTCTTTGATTTCACTTGTTCTTAAGTGTACATAAGTGTATATACATATACATGATCAAATACATTGTTGCTATTATTTTGAACAAACTGTTATCTGTTAGATCAATTAAGAATGAGAAAAATATGGGGCTGGCCCCATGGCTTAGCGGTTAAATGCGTGTGCTCCGCTACTGGTGGCCCGGGTTCGGATCCCGGGCGCGCACCAACGCACCGCTTGTCCGGCCATGCTGAGGCTGGGTCCCACATACAGCAACTAGAAGGATGTGCAACTATGACATACAACTATCTAGTGGAGCTTTGGGGAAAAAAAGGAGGAGGATTGGCAATAGATGTTAGCTCAGAGCCGGTCTTCCTCAGGAAAAAGAAGAGGATTAGCATGGATGTTAGCTCAGGGCTGATCTTCCTCACAAAAAAAAAAAAAGAATGAGAAAAATAAAAGTTTTTATTTTACCTTGTCTTGTTTCTCCTCTCATACTCCCCCTTTCTTTATGTAGATCCAAGTTTCTGATCTGTATCATTTTTCTTCTCTCTGAAGAACTTCTTTTAACATTTCTTGCAAGGCAGTTCTGCTGGCAACAAATTCCCTCAAGTTTTGTCTGAGAAAGTATTTCTCCTTCACTTTTGAAAGATAATTTCACAGGGTACAGAATT